GGCTTCACAGCACAGGTGAGTTTTCAGGAGAGATTGGGAGGAAGATAATGTAGCGGCTTTGGGGATTTTTACAGAGAGATTATGCATTTGCTTTCAGTTGCTTATTACAGGAATGTGCTGCCTCCAATATTTTGCAGGGGGCTTTCTTCTGTGACGTGGTGCTACTGTATCTGATGAAAAAGAGCAACTTCTATCGAGGCAAAAAATATGAGGAAGTGAAGTAAGTGGGACTCTTGTTGCATTTATGTGTGTAGCATTATACTGTCCAATCATTAAATGGACAGAAATATAGAAACAAAGGACATTTTAACTGCAGAAGGAGGGCATTTGATTCCAGGAAATTACATGCATACAGATGAGTATAGCCAAGCTGCTCCCTCCATAAGTCATTGCTGAAGTCAGAGAAATAGGGAAGCTGCTGTGTCATTGTTCAGGCTGCAAATGGCTCCTGGCTCTCCATCCATAATGATGCCAAATGGAATCAATGGCAACTACTAAAAGCCCTGGATGCCTTTTCCTTTCACTTATAAGGATGAAAATCAGAACTCCAGCCCAAGAGCTGCTATGTTAAAGGGTGACTTCAGGGCTGGGATGCAAAAGGGGCCATGTCCTCTCAGTTACGACAGACTTAAACCCTGTAGATCCATTTTCTGGGCCACTGGAGTTCAGCCAACTGAGAATGGCAGAGTGAGTCACTCTGCTGCACCAGCGTCCATCTGATAAAACCTTGAGTACACAGTTCCTGTAATAGAACATTGTCACAGAGTCAGCGCTCCATTGCTTTGAACCCTGAAGTCTGAGCATCACGTTGACATTTATTTTTCATGTAGCATCCAAGGTCCTTTTGATTATATTTGTGTGCAATCTACTTGAATTAACAGGGAGTTTACAGATCTATATCAATGGAACAACTGACCCCTCTGTTTCAATCATGAAGTTGCCAGAAAATTGTGGGAAAGATTTTTTTTCTAAAAGACTTGACATCACAAATTCAGTGTGAGCTTCATGGAATAGATAAGGTTATTTGTGCCTGTGGCTATGTGCAGAGCTCCAATTAGAGCTACAGCAAGGTGCCGAGGCCATTGTGGGCATTATGCAAAAATCTATGACTCAACATAGCTTTTGTGATGCACAAATGGACCTTAAAAAACAATCCATTGAAACAACAAACGTTTGTTAGGAACACTCATAGTTTAGTCAAAACAGACTACTTATGAAAATGGCTCAGTTCTGTCCATTAGCCAAGCCAGGGAGAAATTTACCCATCTCCAGAAGCAACGGTTTAAACATTCTGTCTCTTGGAAATGCTGAAGGCCCCACCAAGACTCCTCTTCTGCTTCACTGCAAGGTAAATAAACGTAAGTTACTGCCCTTCTTGCCTTTTGTTCCCACAGGTCCAGTTCAAGAAAGTCTTTACCAGGTGGAACAGCGAATGGGAACCAGAACTCAGAATCGCTGGCTACATTAGAGCAGCTGAGACAACTACAGACAGTTGAGACCTAAGGGTCTGTCAATTGGAAAACATGTTCCATAAAGACTACGATGGTAAAACACAGCAACCAAACTTTGAGGTGGAGACAGCCATGGTCAGGTCTATTGTATCATTTGGATGCCCAGAGAAGAGGTGTTATAGCTATTCTGTTCAAGAGAGCAGTTTGCTAAAAATATCACCCCTTCTGATCTAAGGCACTCTTCCCTATCTTGAGCTGGTGACTCCTGTGCCATTGCTACAGAACTTTTGTATTATAAAGAAAAATGTAGAAGAAACCAGGCAACATTTTTATATGCACATAAATAGATAACCAGCATTATTCTGTAGCCCTGCATTGCTTCTGCTAATGAAAGGTCAGTGACAAAGACACGTGGCATTTGACATTGTTAGGAGAGTTGAGGTTGGGAAACCAGAATCGCCTTCTGTTCAGCTGCACTGCAACACCAGTTCCCAAGTCCTGTATGATCTACCTGTAAGAGCAGATTGAAATCCTTTGGGCTGGTGTTGAGATAAATAAGATCCGGCGTTCCATTGAATTTGTCTGTAGTTCAAGTAACATCATACCAAAGGCAAAGTGACTCTCAAGATGTTTTCACAGGAAGAGCCCTTACTCTATAGACCATGGTATCCTCCTCTTTCCATAGAAGCACTTTACCAACCCCACTCCAAAACCAACCAGGCTCAGTGATATTTGCAGTTGGCCTGGCAAAGCTCTCATGAGCAAATTAATACAGAACTTTTGTTAAATCTAGTGTTTAAAAATGCCAGAATAACCTACAGTAAAGGGATGAAGTTTGTCCTCTAGTAATTGGTCCAGGTAACTTGACATTTTGGGGTACAAGAAAGCATAGTGTGGCATAGCAGGTAGCTGATCAGGGGAATATTTTGAAACAAGTTGGGTGATGCTTCTAAGGAAGTTGACATATGCTTTTATTACCGGCCTGATAACACTTTTGTCTGAATTTTCTTTTGGACAAACAGCCATTGGAAGCTGAATACAGAAAGAAAGTATCAAATATTCAGTGTGTTAACAGTGTGCATCAAGGCATCTGTCAATAACAGCACATTCAATAACCAAGCCTCCCTTCATTTACCAGTTGGTTTCATGCTTTTCTCAGCAATTCCTTTTTATTGTCACTGTGCTTTTTGTTTAGTTCAGGGATGATTATCCTCTCTACCTTACTTACTGATTCCTGACAAAGGAGGAACTTGATGCTTCTGCCAGTAGGAATGGATAGTCAGAGTTACTGGATCAGGCAGCTCTAGTCAGGGACAGCTACTCTGTCTGTTTTGTTATCCACAGTTTGAAATGTGGGTGTGTGGAGAGGAATAGCACCAATTGGACTTTGTTTCCCACGTCATTCTATATCTCCCAACCTACTACAAGTTACAGGATTTATTTAAAAGTTAGAAATCTAATACTTTTTTTTGGTTACACGGGCTTTTGAAAGTACAATGAGCCGTTGTTTCTGACTCACAAAACTCTATGACCTAAATTCAGATGGTGATATAACTTCCCAAAAGTGGTAGGAAAAAATACTAGGAAGCAAAACCACAAAAGTCAATTCTACTTGGCTCTGTGCTTCCTTAGGATGAATTTGACTCACTAGCCTTGGATGAAAATGGTAGGTGGTGAAGATTAAGCTGCCTTGCTTTGAAATACGACATTAATAGCCCCAGGTCAGGCTTTTCACTCAATTCGAAAACAACAACTGGTGAATGACTTTAAGGTGAAACCTGACAGCATTGGCTTGATGCAAACAGGACCGTGTAAACTTAACTAAGCCAATATAACTCGATCTTAACCATCTATACTTAAGTAGTTTTTGAAGCTGAAACAAATATAATACAATGCTAGATCACCTCATACTACGGTATGATTCACTCAAACAGCTCATCACAAATAAAAACAAGGCTAGGCCTGTTCTGTAGTCTAATACTTTAACTTGCCAAAATAATGTTACCTTGTTAGAAAGGACCTAACCCACTTTCTGAGTTGAAGGCTTTAGGTCCCCCATCACAAAACTCGATCCCCATCCTATATATATATATTTTTTAAGGTAAGTCAGTACAGAGATTAGTCATAAACAGTAACTATCGGATTCTCAGGAGTCTCTTTTTACAAAATTTGATATTTTTCCTTGGAGTTAATATAGCAATGGAATTTGTCTGTTGTAGGATAATGTCTTTTCTGTATGTTGTATTATTTTAGATAATGGTGATTAACCATATACACGCTGGTTTCCCCATTTTGTTTTGAAATGCATACACAACATTTGAACAGTACAAGTATATTAATAAAGCTGCCCATCTAAGTTAACTAAAATGCCCATGTTTAAAAGATGCATGACTCAATCTAGAAAAATAGCTTTGACAGAATTCAGTAACTAGACCATGTTATTTTGCAGGAGACCAAAGGTATATTGACTGTAAATATATAGTATGGCAGACAGTATTTATAGTATATATGAAAGAGGGAAATTGACAATAACTACTTTGTTTCAATATTAAGTAAAGTTTAAAATAGAGGGCAGACTATTTAAAAAAGGCATTTCAAAGTATAAGTGGGAAAAGGTTTTACACAATGTTCTGTGTCACTGGTTAGTAATTTATGCTTCAGAATAGGGTGAATTGCAAAAATGCTACTGCTGATTCAGTTTTCTCCTTGGATGGAAATACTGCTAAGTGTGCTTTCGAGCCCTGTCACCATACAAGTGCAGAGACTATATACCCGCTCACTCAGAAAACTGCTGAAGAGGGATTGTAGGGCCTGTCCTATAGCTGAAAGCTGCAGTTTACAGCTCAGTCTGGCCTTGATTTTCTTGCAGAAAATGAAATCTATTACCACAATAATGCATTGTAAGTTTGGGGAAATACTAAGTGAGTCTATTCCAGATCTCCGGGTGTGGGTTTGTTCATTTTAGCTATAACGGATACTGATTCATAGGACACTGTGGTTTCCTTTGGCATAATGTAGTATTATGTCAGTGGAAAGCATTGTGCAAATACCCCTAAAAACCCAAAACAGTGACTCATGACTGTACTACTTATTGCCTTTTATATGTGCCATTACAAAAAGTATGCTCCGCAAAAGCAATGCATGGAAGAGATTGAAATGTTTTAGTAACTTTAATTTCCTATTTGTAAAGTGACTGTACCCAGGATCACAGCACTTACACTAAGGATCCAGACAAATAAGATACTTCTGTCCAGTTTCATGTACATTTAATTACATATTACCATGAAACTAACTTTGTGTCAGTGTTTCCTTTCAGATTTCATTGCATTAAGCTTATGGCTAAAGATACTGTTTTTACCAATGCTTGTATGCTGATGCAAACGGTGACAGTGGGAACACAACATAAAATAAAGCTGCTATTGCTGATCTTACAGAGGCAAAATGTAAAAGGAATAAAGTCAGCCAAGAATGGTGGACAAATGGTGATTTTTAGCGATTCATGGGATACTTATAAATGTGTGGGAAGCAATTTAAGTGACTTTTCTATAAGACATTTTACATTCAATTTAATTAGACAAATACTACAGAGTTTTGTACTCAGACATAAGTTACTGACCGCCTTAACAATACAAGCAGTGAACAACAATTTAAAAAGCTGGCATAGTTGTTTAGATGAGTTTTTGGCAACAGTCCTCCTATTTCATTAAAACCCATTGCAGCTAAAGTGGTTATTACTTTTTTAGTAGACATGCACCATGCCATAGAGGAAAGTCCAGAAGAGGACATATGTGAAGAGGCCTCCGATAAGCCCCCCAGTGAAAAGTGGCCTTCGGGATTTAAAGTACTTATTCCACCGCCGTCCAGCTTTTAATACCAAAAGCACTGAGAGAAGGACAGAAGCCAAGAAGTAGAAGATGAAGCCATGTAAACCAGTCAGGCCAAGAATTCCTGCTGTTGCTCCTGACAAGGCAGAAACGGATGTCCTGCAATAATCCAGAATGGCTGCATTCCCTCGGACTGCTCCTTCGCTGATGAACTGAGGCCCTTCTCGCTTAGCCACCATTGTAGCCATTGCTCTGGTTTGGAGTCAAGTCTTTCTCCCAACGAGACTAGATCAAAGGAGAGAACAAACTATTGTACTAAGTCAATTTCATTTTATTTGGGAAGATGGGATGGAACAATTCTTTTCCCTCCTGTCCATAACTAACAGCAGGAACTGAAAGTGAAAAATGCACAGCTACTTGGAAATTGACCTCTTTAGTACAAATCACCATCAGTAAATTGATAAATTGAAGAGTACCTATAATCTGTTGCACATTTTGGTAATGTCAGGCCTGACAGCATGTGAAATGCATCAGTCATCAGAACATTGTTCATGACCTTCGAAAAAAATTGATTTGATGAGTAGTGTCTTGGACAAACTGTATTCCCAGTTATCTGTACTAGAAATAAGTGGTGGTCTTTGAATAACTACAAGAAATCAAGGAGCTATTCACATGTCTACTAGCTGTTATAACTGATGGTATTCAAAGAGCTGCTGAAACGTTCAAGCAAATCAGGTAGTCTACACTTGGATTTTATGTAAATATAAAATTAACTTGCGTTAATCAGGTAAGTTTACATCTCAACCTCGGAGGCCTTTAGTCAATAACACCACACATATAAACAAAACTGAACCAATCTCACTATTGTATGTCTACAGCACACAAATTTACTTGTTACAGTAAGAAAAATTTAGGCCAGCTTTAGTAAGAGTCTAAAAAAAATGAATTTATCCTTCCAAGTCAGGACAGATTAGGCATTTAGAACTCACTACTCAAAGAATTAAATTTAACTGTAAGAGAAATAAAAATTATGAAATGCATACACCAGTCAAAACACTAAAAATAACACTCTTTGAAATTACAGAGAATATATGTGCATTGCAGGAAGTACCAAGTAGTAACAACATTAATACAAGTATGTGCTGGGAGGTGTGGGTGGGTGGGTATGAGAGAGAGAGAGAGAGTGTATGTGTGTGTGTGTGAGAGAGACACACAGAGAGGGTGTGCACTGGCTGCTGGGGACATTTCTGAGATCATAGAATATCAGGGTTGGAAGGGACCTCAGGAGGTCATCTAGTCCAACCCCCTGCTCAAAGCAGGGCCAAACCCCAGACAGATTTTTACCCCAGTTCTTTAAACAGCCCCCTCAAGGATTGAACTCACAACCCTGGGTTTAGCAGGCCAATGCTCAAACCACTGAGCTATCCCTCCCCACTTCGCCATGTGCTGTCTCTTTAAGACACTCACTGAAAGCTCTCCTGCTGTTCTAAGCCCTGTTGTCTCCTCTCCCCTCCTCTGCTCTGCAGAGATGGGGTACAGGGGCAGGGAGAGTTTGTATGTGAGAGCTGGCTTCTGGGGAAATCTCAAACAGTGCACTGTCTCTTTAAGAAAGGCATTCACCCTAGTCCTTCCTGAGCCAGGCTGTCCCCCCTCTGCCCTGCTCTGGCGAGATGGGGTGCGGGGGAGAGGGGGACATCCTGACATCAGCACCCTTCTCTCTCTCCTCTCCTCCCCAGCAAGCAGGATGGGTGTGCATGCTCTGCTAATCATCTGAGCAGCATTTGAATCTCTCCTGGGCAGCCACTTGCCCCAAGCACACAGCTTCCAGTATAAGACTTGCAAGCCCAATTTATAATGAGATTACTCATCTCTATGGCCTTCTTTTTCAATGTATTGTAGTGTACATACATGTAGTTGTAACAGCAACCCACATTTTAAATTCACATCCTTTTTGTAGCACAAAGAGTTTGGGTAAGATTTCCTATTTACACTTACATTTCTATCATTTTGGTCTGTTCAACAATGCCACTTCTTTAGCTAACTACCTAAATTCGGAGGTTGTAATTAAATCCAAGGAAGAAGTATCTAGATACTACAGGACCCAATTAGCCTCACGTAGCTGCACACTGCATTAAAACCACTACTTGGCATTTCTATAGCACTTTTCATCCAATGATTTCACTGTGCTTTAGTAATATTAAAGAACCCCTCCTCCACTGGGCTTAGACCCAAAATAACTAGATACAGGTATCACTCTACTCAGCAGTGTAATGCAGCGATTACTAGGGTGGAACATGATAGTTGTTCAGTAGCAACCCTATATAAAAGTTCAGGACTGAAAGCAAAGGGTGTTCTGCTTAATTGAAGCTTCTGGAAAATTTGGAGGGCCTCATAATGTAATTACCTGAGGTAGAATGCAACCAGAACACAGAAGACTAAGGGTTTGTCAAGCCGTTTGGACCCCAACTGTAGCTTTCTGTAAAAAAAGATTTCACAAACCTTAATATTCATAGACATTATACAAAATAGCAGTAAAAGCAGATTTAAATCGATATGTCTCCTCCTTTCCCTGGTTAAAGCAAAACCACCCAGCCCCAAGCTAGCTCCATTTCCCCCACGCTGAGTGAAGCACAGGTAAGGAATTTGGAAGACTGGTTTAGTGTTCTCTGGGGTCGCCGACTCCAGGAGGGACGAAAAGAAAGCACTGCTCCCCCCCAGCCAAGACACCCAGTGCAGCTGTCACTTAGCCCGGAGCAGGGCCGGGACGCAGGATCAGCCTGGGGGACGGAGTCTCAGTGCCATGGCCGGGCCAGTGGGGACACCGCCCTAGGCCGCAGAACCAGGCCGGCCCCAGCTCGCTCCTGCACCTTTGTGGGGCAGAATATCGGCCTCGAAACTACTCTCCGCCCCTCCTGCAGCCTGGCGGCTACACGAGAAACAGCGGGGCCCGAGCGCAAGACCAGCGCCCCCCTGGGCACGGGGGGGAGGGGCGAGCCCCCTGGGGTGCCCTCACCCCGCCCCCACTCTGACCCAACCCCCGCTCCTGCTCTCACCCCGCTCCCGCCCGGGGGGCGCCGGAGGCCCAGGCCTGGACGGGGGCCGCCCAAAGGACATGCTTGAGGCAGCGCCGCCGGGCTCGGGTTGACCCGAGGCCGGGCCAGGGCCCGGCCCGACGTCTCTACGAACCCCCAGCGGCTGCCCGGCCCCGCCGAGGTAACAGCAACGACTTACCCGCCCCTACCGCAGGCGGGAGCCCGCCATCTTGGAATAAAGGCTGCCGGGAAACATCGCCCCCGCCTCCCAGCTCTCAATGCGCATGCGCCGGCGCTCCCTCGGCCCGAGGCGGCGCCCGATTGGCTCCTCGGCTGCGGAGCGAGGGGCGGGGCCGGCGGGACCTTTTGTTGGCGAGGCGGCGGGACCGCCGGCGAGTCGGGCGTGAGCTGCCGGGCGGGGCCATGTCGTACATCCCGGGGCAGCCGGTCACCGCCGTGGTGGTGAGTGGGGTGCGGGCCGGGGGGCGGAGCCTGACCGGCCCCCGGGCTGGGGGGATAGTGAGGGGGGTCCCCGCCCCCTCCCCCCCGGAGCAGCCCCCTCAGCTCTGGCAGCGGGGCGCGGCTCCGGTCCGGTCCCCGGCGGGGGGCTGCGGGTCCGCCCCGGGGCTGGCGCGCGAAGCGCCCGGGACACCCCCCCCTTCTCCCGGGCTGCGCTTCTCGCCGGTCCGTGCCGAGCGCAGGAAACGCCCCGGGGCCGCGCTGCCCGCCCCGCCCTGTGCACACACCCGGCCGGGCCGGGCCGGGCTGGGCTGGGCGTGCTCGGGTGGCGGGGGCCTGCCGGGCTCCCGGGCCTGGCCAGTGCTGGGGCGGCCCCGCCCGCAGGGTCGCTCCCGTGTAGCGATGTCCGTGCGGGGTGATGGTGTCAGGGCTGGTTCCTGCCCCCTCTAGGAGAAGGGGGAAAGTGGTCTCCCTAGGCGTGCTCTGCTCCCCGTAAAACCCCCCACGGGGTGGGGGTGTTTAAAAGCAGTCCCCCTTGTGTGGGAACAAGTTCTGGGTTAAACTGGTGCAGAAGCCGGGGCGGACACACTTTCTCTTCCCGCTGGCCGTATTTAGCTTCTACCGCGTACGAACAGGTTTGAGCTGAACTGAAGTAAGTGTTCATGCAGAGGTTTGGATTGTTAAACCGGTTCCTGGAGTGGTGTGAGGGTCCGAGCACTGGGCCTGGGCCTTAGGAGAGCTGAGTTCCAGTCTGACTCTGCCACTTGCCTGCTGGGTGACATGGAGCAAGTCACTTCACTGCTCCGTGCCTCTGTTTCCCCATCTCTAAAAAGAGGCTGGGAGGGGGAATGGAAAGGTCAAACTAATTCATCTTGGGGGTGTGAAAGGATTGGGTGACAGCTCCCCTTATTGTGTGTTTTTTAATTAAGATTTTAATACAAATATACTCTAGGTTATACCATTGTTCTTACCACTTTCATCCAAAGATTGCAGACAGCTCAGTATCATTATCCCCTCTGTACACCTAGGAAAACTGAAGTACAGATGTGATCTGACTTGCCCAAGATCATATAGTGAGTCAGTGGTAGAGCAGGGAACAAAAGCTAGCTGTCCTGTCTCCCAGGTCCACTGGATTATGCTGTCTCCGCTAGTTGCTTATGGTTACGTTTCTGATGAGCACAGGACTGCAGGCATGCATGTCACTTTTCAGTAGCCACAGTGGAGGGGATGGAAAAAATAACCTTTTTTGCACAGTCTCTGACAGTCAGATAAGAACAAAGAACTAGAGGCTGTATATGGTGAGCTGGTGCGAGTTCTGCTGCTAACGCAAGCCAGTGCAGGTTGGATGGGGGCTGATTTGACTCCAGAATCAACCCTTCTCAGTAGAAAATAAACCAGCAAAATTTACCATATAAGTGTAGAGGAGAAAATTTGCCACATATCTGTGTGGCACACACACTCTGTCCAACCAAGTGACTGTCAAAACAAGTCAAATTTCTGACATCTCCCTGCTATGCCAGGCAGTCTAACTGAGCACAAATTGGGATCATGGTATGTGTTGTACTGTGATTTAAGAGACATAGCATAGTCCACTTGCCACTTATCAGAGGACTTCACCTCAGATGTCAGACCTCTCTAACAGTATTTTTTTTTTAAAACCATTGTGATCTTGATGGACAGTGCTCACTGTTTAGCTTGGCAGATGGTGCCTCCTGGGATAGAAGATGATGGTGCACAAATTATAATGGGCCACTTTACCCATGGGTAAAAACCCTGCATACCATGCTGCTCAAGGAGCGTAGGTTTTCTTGAATTGGAATCTCAGTATCACCAGTTAACAAAACAAAACCAAGAATGTCCTTGTTCAGCTAAAGTTGTGGTGCTTAACCCCCCCCCCACTTGATAAAAATGCTATGTGACTGCACGCTGTTGCTGTTAGCCTTGTTCTCAACAACCTGCCTCCGAGCCAATTCTAGTGTTGAAGACAACATAAAAAGATATCAAATCTGCTGCCATCCACTTGTTTGGCTGCCAGCCTGGAGTCTGTTCCTTGTCTGTCTCTTATTATGCTATGTGCAATTTTTAGTTTGTCTGTGGAAGTTGTCAGTATTTCCAATGAGCTCATCTGGAGTCTCACTCTTCAATTAAAATATGACTATTTGTTTACTTGGTTAAGTTACAAACACCTCCCTCTTGTGTTCCAAATGGGCTCACTGGACCCAGGGAAGCATTCTGATGAATGGAAAAAGACAGCCGTGCAAACTTGAGGGAAGAAAAACTTCCTTCAAAAATCTTACATGTAGCCTGTAACTTTGCCCTCTACCATGCTTTCTTTCCAGGAGTCACACTGTCAGAAGGGAAAGCTAGTTCCCATACCCAATCTGTACCTAGAGGAGAGAGGCTGTTTACATTTTGGGTAGCTCAAGGGGAAGAACCTTCCCCTGAGCAGGGAAAAACAGTTTCTAATCTCTCAGTACAAAGTGTCACTCTGGTAGCATGACAAGACTTACTGACTGTTCTGTATCCTCCACTAGACAGTGCTGCTTGGCGCTCTTTAAAAGGTTGGAGTGGCATCTGCTTTAGCTATTCTAGTCTTGTGAAGTAGATTAAAAAAAATTAATTTTGTACTTAAACTATATCCCTTGTGAAAATGAGATGCTAAGCAAGCTTTTGAGAATTAAATCCTTGTTTTTGGTTTTATCTGTAATCTGTGGGCTTGCAATGCTATAGTTAAGAGTTCTGTTACTATAGAGGCAGTAAAAACATACCGTAGTAACTATAGTTGGTCACACTTGAGTCCATTAAATTAAGATGTTCTAAGATAGTAACGTGAACTACTTTCCTTGATGAAAGAAGATTGCAAAGCAACTCACTTTGAATTACCAATCCCACTCAAACCAGGCTTCCTGGTGATGTGTATGATAAATCTCATAATTTTGGTGAAAGTAGGTGTAATAACTATAAAGGGAAGGGTAGCAGCCCTCCTGTGTACAATACTATAATCCCTCCTGGCCAGAGACACCAAAATCCTTTTACCTGTAAAGGGTTAAGAAGCTCAGGTAACCTGGCTGACACCTGACCCAAAGGATCAATAAGGGGACAAGATACTTTCAAATCTCGGTGAGGGGGAGGCTTTTGTTTGTGCTCCTTGTTTAGGGGGTTGTTCGCTCTTGGGACTAAGAGGGACCAGACATCAATCCATGCTCTCCAAATCTTTCTGAACAAGTCTCTCATATTTCAAACTTGTAAGTAACAGCCAGGCAAGGCGTGTTAGGTTTATCGTTGTTTTCTCAACTTGTGAAAGTTCCTTTTGCTAGGGAGATTACTTCTGTTTGCTGTAATGTTGAACCTAAGGCTAGAGGGAGTTCCTCTGGGCTCTTTGAATCTGATTACCCTGTAAAGTTATTTTCCATCCTGATTTTACAGAGATGATTTTTTACCTTTAATTAAAAACCTTTTAAAGAAACTGATTGATTTTTCCTTGTTTTAAGATCCAAGGGGTTTGGATCGGTGTTCACCAGGGAATTGGTGGAGGAGTCTCTCAAGGCTACCCAGGGAGGGAAAGGTTTTTTGGGGGGAAGACAGTTTCCCCCAAATGACTCAAACTATTTGGGTGGTGGCAGCAAAAGCAGATGTAAGCTGGTAGTTAAGCTTAGAGGTTTTCATGCAGGTACCCACATCTGTACCCTAAAGTTCAGAGTGGGGAAGGAACCTTGACAGTAGGTCATGCAGCAAAGGCTGCACAAATCATTTGTTTGGCAGAGCAGTTTGTAGCCTGAGGGGATCTGGGCCTAATTCAAGAGGAAAGACTAAACTTCTTCTTTTGCAAAGAGGCCCCTGCTAGACAGGGTTCTAGGTGAGATCACGACTCCCCTTCATATCTCTGTCACTAAGAGCTCCTCATACAAAGTTTTAAAATCTCTTGCTGTCCGAACCTCTTCATCAAGCCTTTTTTTGTACTCTTGATGCCAGGGGTGACTTTACAGCTGGTCTTGTGAACCCTTTGGTAGTTGGACTCTCTTCAGCTGAGTTAGTGACCTACACTCAGAGTGTCTTAAGTTTCTGAACTTGTTGCAGATAACAGAAGTCTCTGCCCCATTATCTATTGAGGATTGGTCTTGCTTAGTTGGGGATTGGTCCTGTTTTGAGCAGGGGGTTGGACTAGATGACCTCCTGAGGTCCCTTCCAACCCTGATATTCTATGATTCTATGAGTGACAATAGTAGGATACATACTCCCATTGGCAGAGCACTAAGGAGGAACTTGTAGTTTTTCCATGGACAAAACAAAATAAGATGTGTGGGTTAGAGAGGCTGCTAGTTATTGACACTTGCATTTTATTGGCTTGAAGGAAACTGAACTCTAGTATAATTTTACTGCTAGTGGTGCCGTCCCTCCCTCCATTTCAATTGTGGTAGTAGAGATAGAGGTTAAACTTCTTTAGCTGCTTAAGTGGCAAGTCCTTTAGGGATATGTTTGGGGACGCTTATTTCCGTTGTGGCTTGCTAGCAAGGACAAAAATGCTCCTCAGTTACTGCTGTTAAGTTTGCTTGTCTCTTTGGGATAGACAGGAAATGCTCTCATCCACCAATGGGTTTTAGATCCGAGATCCCTGCTCATGTTTAAATATAGAAAACATGCTTGTGATATGGCCTTCATTTGTAAACTATCTTATGTGCTCCCTTTGTCTGGAAGTTATACAGTAGCTCACCGAACAAAATCTGTTGTCCTGTCTTCAGAGATAGTTACACGTAATAAAACTAAACTTAATCTACTCTGGTTGGAGTAGAGGAAGGAATGTGAATCCTACACTGTTTCCTCCCATCTCTTTCAGCAAAGAGTTGAAATCCATAAACTCCGGCAAGGTGAAAATCTGATTC